ATCTGTCTGATCTCCGATGGGCACTGGAGAGGTTTGCAGCTTGAGAGTGACACGGTCAAGATGAGGGTCAGCACCTCCAAATCTGAGGTCGTGGTTCTCTCCCTGGAAAAGCTTGGAACAGCTGCCCCACGTAGAGGAGTTTAAGTACCTGGATGTCTTGTTGATGTTTGAGAGTAGAGAAGATCATGAGATTGACCTGTGGTTTGGTGCAGCAGCTGTAGTAATGTGAATGCTGTCCTGAACCGTGGAGGTGCAGTGGGAGATCACAATTACAAGCAACAGAAATTATGTTTCTCCCTTGGTTTGCTGGGCTTACTCTCCGTGACAGAGTGAGGAGTTTGGCAGTCCAGGAGGTGTACCAGGCACAGCCCATTGGGAAGAGACCCTGGAGCAAACCCAGGACATTCGTCAGAGACTGCTGATGGGGAAAGACTCTGCTCTTACCACCACAACTCTCCTTAGAAGTAGGCTGTTAGAATATGATGATGATGATGATGAGCTTGAAGGTGCTACTAATGAAATGCTTATGCAGCTTAGGAGTTTGTTGACATATCATTTACTTCTTCTAGAAAAATGAAGTCCTCTTCTTCCTGTTCATCAGTAATTCCCATCTGTGAAGCATTTCCAAGCAGCAGCTTCATGGCATGACCACAAAACCTTTGTAGTACATCCACTGCCATTCAAGAAGAATCATGCTCTCTAACCCTATTTAACTATTTAACTTGATAGTGTGTATCAAGTAAAATTCAACCCAGCACAGGTTGACCTGACTGGCTTTCGCACCAAAGTATAATTTTGTAAATGCAATATTTAGACTACCATGCTTATTATAACTGGTTGTGTAATTCATCTGTGGTCATGGCTGTTTGTGGTTACGTAGGTGTTTTGAAATGCATGCATCATACTCTTTTAATCATCTTTCTGTATGGAATTATTAGGATTTCTAATAGGTATTTCTGTTCAGAATTCTAGATATTTTTCTATACAGTTGATGTAATATCCCTTTGTTAAAAATAACTCAGTAAATCTTATCGTAAGGTACAGTAGTAGTCTTGTCATTTGTGCTTTTTTTCCCCTTCAGCTCATTTGTAAATACAACTGGTTAGTTGCCAAGAAGTAAGAAACCTGTAACAATTTAATAGTGATTTAAAGGGAACTTCAGAGACACAACTGTCACATTATATTCTATTTTCTGTTTCTTAAAATAAGCAATTTTGAAGCTTATAGACTTGAAGTCATGTTCTTCCTTACCTAATCTAAATCTTTCTTAAAATACAGACACCTCTGAAGCTCTTAATTAGTGGCTTAGAAAAATCTTCTGGTCCCCGCCTGGTGTCAGTCTGATTAGAATTGTTTTAGTGAGTAATCTGTAAGATGCAGTATGGTGATCAAAGCAGCTCCTTTTTGTGAGAGAACAGAAAACTATTTCAAGGACATGAGCTACTTTTGTCTTTCCTTCTTACATCGTTGCTAGCGTGCTGTTACCATGGAAACATTTTTTTTTGCTCTTTTTAGACCCAAGGATTCTGGCAGCCACACACAAACATTTGTTTGAAAGAAGGAGCCATTTCACTTTGGTTGAAAAACATTGCATTTTCCCCCTCCTTCAAGTAATTCTGTTGGGAATATACCATACTCATCTACTGTGAAACAGAGTATTTTGGAGTTGAGTATTCTCATAAAATGTTCCGTTGAATATTTTATTCAGTAAAATAAGTAGGACATTCAGTACTTTCTTTTTATAAATAATTACTTTTCATGATTATTATGTAATGGAGTAGGTAGGTCTTTAGCAGGGGATGTGTCACCTGTGTTTATGAATGATATTGTAAATGCTTATATACATCCAGTGTTGATGAGCAGATGAGCATAATAAAAGCTGGTAATTCAGGATCTTGTTTGAAGCAAGTATGGTCCTGTGCCACAAGGGTGGGGACAGTGAATGGCTGTTTGGAGAAGGGTCTCTTTGGTTGTTAGTTTGCTGAGTTGTACAGTACTTACTCATGAAGGAGAAGAGTCATTATGTGGGATCAATTTAACACTACATTTAATTCTGGGTGTATGACTGATACAGTCAGATCAGTGCAACAATCTATGGTGAAATCATTTTGAAACTATCGTTCAGTATATCGTAAGTATAGAGCAGTACATGCATGGTATCAAACAGTGACAAACAGAAAATCAGCATAATAGTAGTAAACCATACAAAATCTGAAATGAAAAACAAAGAATTATCATTTAAATTTGTATTAAACTAGTTCCTTAGGAGTTGTTTATTGTGCTCTTGGCAATGTGTTCTGTTGTGTACAGTATAATGATGCAAATTTAATTCTCTTGAAAGGTACAAAATAATGTTATGAGCCAAAAGTCACCCTGGCAATGTCCTGTGCAATGTACTGTAGTCATCTTTTTCTCCAACGTCAACTTCTTAGGTTAAAAAAACAAACAAGCAATCCTAGACCATTTTAAAAACTACCTAAAGATTTATTTATGCTATCTATTACTACAGCTCTAGCTTAGAAGCATTGCTTACCTACAGTATGTCTGTTTCAGTTAATAAAGTAATACATGATAAAGGGATGCTCACTGAGGATGATAGGTTGACAGTAGGTTTATGGAAGTGTGTAGCTGAGCTCTGTGCCTTCAGGCAACAGCGAGAGTGCCCTGAAGTTCTACATTAAATACCATTTGAACAGCTAATGTATAAGTGGTTTGTAAACCTGCAATGCAGGCAAGTAGGATGCACATCCATTAGCTAGGCTCTTAACTTATGGCCGTAATGATGAGGTATGTACTCTGTTACTTTTTTCATAATAAACATTTTAAAAAAATACTCTACACACTACAAGGATTAAAAATACTATTTTTTTATTAATTTTCAAGGGACAAATGTTATTCAGCTGTGTCACTGTTTCTTGTCAGCAACTGCAAATACAATTTTTAGATAGGAAGGGAATAAGTCTCTCTGATGGGAGGCAAACCTTTACAGCAGTATTCCTCCTGAATTCTTTTTTGCTGTGATTGGGCCATATATGTCAAGGTGCTAATGAAGTGCCTCAGAAGTGTACCACTGTTGTGTTGCTGTAATAGCACTGTCACTGAAATCTTTACCCATGGCGCTTTAATTTAGAATGGTCAACCCTGAAAGACCCATGCTTCTTCTGGTTTTCATTCCAGCTGGACTATGTGTTTTTGAGGTTGCATTCTTTACTGAAATAATGTGCCTACACAGATCTTGATTTGTTTTCTGCACGGTGCATTCCTCCTGCAGGCTTTCCGTCTCACCTTTCTCTCTTCAACGACACACTGTATATACCTCCATGATATCTGGAGTATCTCCATGGTCAACAACTCTCAGCTATTCAAAAGCTGCTTCTCTGGTGATAACAAACACACCACACACATTTTTATCAGCCACGACTTCTGCAGCCTACTGTGGGTCTGCTGTCCAGCCCCATCTCTTCACCAGCAGTTACACCCAGCTGTATTATGATTCTTACCACTGGGCTGTCCCCCAGGACCCCATTGGACAAATTGGACTCTTTTTCACCGAATTTCTACTCCTTCATGGCATCTCCAGCTGACAGAGCTTCCCTGATGCTCTGTTACACTGCCTCACCTGCGATCTCACTCTCTTATAGACGTCTTGTTAATGTCTTCCATGACAATATATATCATTCTGGATATCGCATATATGTATATATATATTTGTCTTTTTCTTAGTAGTAATGGAGGACTAAAGCACAAAAGCTGTGAAACCCATTAAGCTCAAGCTCCTTCTTGTCCTTTGTTGTCAGCGGGCCCTCCTGGAGCAGAAGCAAAGGAGGAAACGGCAGGAGCCTCTGATGGTGCAGCCCAATCCAGAAGCCAAACCCAGGCGGTCCAAACCCCGCAGGAGCGAGGAACAGGCCCCACTTGTAGAGTCCCGCCTCAGCATCACCAGCGATGTCATCCTGGATGGTAAGAGGGAGAATGAGAGTTGTGTAAGATGACGAGATGCTTGGGGAATCCATAGCATAAGTTGAGTCTGACAACCTGCACATAAAAACAATTATAGCCTGCAGAGGGCAGGTATGCCCTGGAGTCCATGGTGATGGTGATGGGCTAAGCTAGAAAAAAAAGATCACTTTGGCTTTCATCAGCTTGTTAAAGAAGATTTGCAAAATTGCAAGAAGAAAGTTCTCCTCTAAAAAGAGATCTTTAACCTCCCTGAGATGGCTTTAGATGCTTTCATTAACTTCTGGTGAATGGCTTTTGCCCTTCTTAACATTGACACAATTGCTGTCAGTGGTGACCTTGCAACCTTCTATTTATGTTTTGTACTATTATAATTTGAAGCAGACCTGTATTGAGCTAGCAGCAAATGTATTGCATTTTTGTACACGGAGTGGCATCATTCCATGCTGTGTCCCAGTTTTAGCACACAGAGACATCAGGCAGAGAAGTATTCTGAGAACAGGCTCTGCGCAGGAGAAAGAAGACCTGACAGCTCAGACTGGCTATAGGGTAAAGTCAGGGAGCAAGAACAATCTGAAACAACATAACTTAGACCCGCTCAAAGAGGAACCCAGAGGGCTGAGAGACAAAGGTAGTGCAGAACAGGCCAACGGTTTTATAAACAACAATTTTATAATTGAGAATGGAATGTCTTGATGTCCTTATTTTTTATTACAGTGTATTAGAGATGTTGAGCCATTTCCGTGATTCCATTTCTATGACAAGTCTACAGAAAGCATGATTAACCTTAAAGGGTTACAGAGCACTGTTTTATCATAAATGTGCAACACTCTACTTGCCATGGCTCCCTTCTGTGTTGTATTTATAACTGTTGAAGTGTTTAAAGTCAACAAAAAACCTGTTTCAGTGGCTGAAAAAGGAAACTTTTTGAGGGCCCACATTATCCGTTTGTCAACATTGTCAATTTAGAGTGCAAGTGATTTATTTTCATAGTAATTCTTTAGCTGATGTATGTCCCAAGATACATTGATCAAAATATCCCAAATTACAATTATGTTCATTGTTATATGGTCACAGTGGTATTGGATGGACAGCACAGAAAACATGATTGGTAAATACTGTTCTTGTGATTCATATAAGATGTCTTTTAATGCTCTTCCACTATTACACTTTGTAAGTACTCTTCCAGTAATGATTAATTGTCGGTCTTCATCTGACATGACTAACTTTGTTTACTTTTCATGTTGCTAATAAATTGATATCATAGTCCAATGAATCAGAAGGTTTAGTGTTATATGCTGTATGCTGTCTTGTGTACTGTCACGAGTACTTAATGAGTACATAAATGAAACCCTTTTTAAACATTAAGATAAGAAGAATGGGAAAATGTGTTATTGTGAGGAAATCCACATTAATTCCACTGTAAGTGGGTGGCTATGTTCTTGAGATTTAGCAGAACTGCCTGTGAGTGCAGGTCTATGACTCCAAATACTGTATGTATCATGTTTCCACAGTGCAGGAGTTGAATGAGAAGCCGAAGTTTAAAGTCATAGAGGAAACACCCAGGCCAGAGCTATGGATAAAACCCAGAAAAGCATTTCAGGGAAGAGGCAAAATCAGGAAACAGAGAGGAAAGTTAGCTACCATAAACCAAGGCATGAATTAATGGGTTATTAACCATTTTATGACTGTCAGGTGGTGCATCATGTTTTGTTGTGGTCTACCGATGATATCTTAATTCCCTTGTACAATATCTCTGGGAGATTCCAGTATGTATTACTTAAAGGCCTGTTGAAGCATGTCTGCAAATACAGTAGGCACATTATTAATGCATCCTTTTAACAAGAGATTGTGAAAGTCACATACACATTTATTTCTGTCAAAAAAGGAATGTGTGTAAGTTTCAACCTGTGCAGACAGAAAATCACTTAGCTGTTTGATTTATCATTTACAAAGACAGATGTACTATAAATAGTATTATAGTGGTTCAGCAGATTAAAGCAGTGTATTTATTGAATCACATTACAAAAGTGAAAAATATATGAGAAAATAGATGGTTATTCAATCAGCTCTATCACTCTCACTAAAGGTAATTGGATTTTCTGATTATTGCTACATCAAACACAAATAGCTGAAATTGGCGTGTCAAATTGTTATGTGGATATATGTAATGTTAATTATTACAGTTTCAATAATAACTGTCTAGAGATCAGTTACATATGCTGTAGTATTGTTGATCTGTATGTGAAATGGTTGATTAGTAAAACAATTATATTTTAGAAAAAGTTTGATCTTGGGGGAAAATCTTATTTTAGTGGATGTTTGTAATTCCTAAAAGCACAAATAATGTCACTCTCTGTTTTTTGGATTGACTTTTATTCCCAGAAGCAATGCGTCAGCTCATCTAAATCTGAAATGACCTGAGTTGTAAAGATACTTACTTAGCGAAGGCTTCAGCAAGTAGGCCACTTGTCTGTCTACAACAATAGACCTGGTTCTGAAAATTGTGGCTGCTGAGATGCATACAAAAATATATGTATAAAATTATCTTCAGTGGGGTGTCTGTGAAAACCACATTTTTATCAGTATTCTCATATATTTTAGATCAACATCATTAGTTCTTCTTGAAAGTCTTTATAAAAGATAAAGATTGACTTGATTAAACAAAAAACACATAATATAAATGCAAAAAAATATTTTTATTATTTTACTAAATGGTTATTTAACCTTGTGTGAATAAGTATGTGAACCCTTGGATAACTGTTTACACATCCTCGATCAGCAATAACTTCGACTAGCAACTGTTAAGTCTCTTGCATTAACGTTTAGGGTTTTTTTCAGCTTATTTCAAGTCCTGCTATAACATTACAAATGGTTACTGCCAGACTTCAACTTAAGTAATCCAAACTACGAAATTTCTTCTTATTCATCCATTCTGTTGTAGATCTGCTTGTATCTTAATAATCATATTCTTGCTCCATTCTGCACTTTTGGTTTGGCTTCAGCAGATGAATGGATGGCCGGGCATTCTCCTCCAAAATTTGCTAATACAACACAATTAATTCCTTTAACAAAGCAAGCAAGCCATTCTGGTGCCTAGGTAGCACAGAAGCCCAGATCATGATACTCTTACCACCATGCTCAACAGTCAGGATTTCTGCTAGAAAGAACTGTTTGGTTTTTGCCACTCAAAACACGTATTTGTGTGGCCAAAAAGTTCAAATTATAGTCTTTTCTGTACAGAGAGCAGTCTTCAGGTAGTTTTGTGGGCTGTCCAGGCCAAGGAAGGATTTTTCCTTGGCACCGTATAGTATCTACGCATAGATAGGTTTCACCAAGTCTGTTTGTCCAAACACCTGTAAAAAATTACTTGGATTGGTCTAATTGATTAATTTCAGAAAGGTACATGTGCATTAACCCTTCCTATTTTGCAGCTGTGCCCCAATCTGTAGGAAACCCATCTTTGTCATTACAGTAATACATTTGATTTCCTACAGCATCCTTAATTAGCAGCTGCAATTGGCAATTTATAATTCAAAGAGCTAATTAAGTAACTTTTAAGCATGATGCATATCACTTCACTTAAAAGTACACTTGATCTATTCATTGCAAAACAAAGCTGTTACTTTCCAGGTACCTCTTTGGCATTGTCAAGATTAAAGGACTCTTAGTTAATTCAACTAAGAGGGATGCTGTACAACCTTTAGTGCTTTGCCAGGCTCTTGTGTTACTGGCTGCATCTGTGATGGAAATAGTTTTTTTTCCATTACACATTATGAGTGTATTAGAGCTGTTTAGTAGTATTAGACTACTAAGCACTAAAAGAGCTATACATTTCTCATTCCTCTTTTTCCTCATAGTGTTTCTCTTAATAGAAATTATAAAACACTAGTAGAAATGCCAGGTATTTTTATCTTCTGAGTCAGTTAGCTAAATTTATATTTGAAACTATTTATCATAAAAATAGTTGGTACATTTTCGAGAGAATATTCCCCCATGCCTTTTCCTTTATGCTTAATTTTTCACTTCAAACACATTTATTAAATGAAAGCTACTTAGTTTAAATTATTTTTTTTCCTCTAAGTTCTCTGAGGTCAATAGTTTAAAATTAATATGAATAGAACAGCAATAAAATATTACTCTATTATTATGTATTTGGTAGATTATTATAGACACATTTTAATATATTTGAATAGAATTTACAAAATTATTCTTGTGTAAACAGGATAATATGAATCAAAAATAAAATGCAAATATTACAAATGTTTAAAAAAATAAAAATAACTCTGAAGAATTATTAAAATATTAATATAAAAGTCTGTGATTTAATCTAAGAATTGTACTAAGTATAAAACCATAAAAAACTGTCATGCTTGAGAACTGGATACTGACTCCCTTACATTATTTTATGGTTGTCAATTTATTTACAAATTTTATAATTTAAAATAACAGGAGAATGTATGAGTTTGATAATGAAGCAAAATCTAGAATATATTAGAGTTAACATCCCTTCTAGAAAGATCTCTTTATAAAAATCAGAATGACATTCATGTTTGTGCACAGCATAATGAATAAAACTCCCTCTCCATGCAGGTATTGATGGACCAGCTGCATTTATGAACTCTGAGGTTCCTGACCTAAGCACTAAGGTTCAAATCTTATCAGTGAGCCAGTCCCCCCCGACAGAGGAGGTGGACAGAGATGGAGACACAGAGACTCTGCTGGAGCCCTCAGCCAAAAGTGACATCCAGGACATCCTGCAGAAACGAGGTGAGCAGCCCACACTGTCTCTCCCTTCATTGACAGCGGGAACTTAGGGTGAGTGCAGTGATTCCAAGACAGGAACTAGAATCCAAATGCAGGCTAGCACACAGAAAAATGAGGTAAAAGGTGGATATAAATAAACACTAAGCAAGAAGAGGGATAACACAGGGCAGGATCCGAAGGAGTGTCCAAAAAGTCAGACAGGTGAGGTACATAGCCAGGTTTCATGATGTGAACAAGCCAGGGAAGATCCAGGAACTCGGTTGGAAGACGGGGCAAGCAAGACAAGGCACAAGTAAAGCAAGGTGAAAGCAAAGAGAAGCAGAATGCAGCAAAGCAAGTGAGGACTCTCAGAGGAAAACCCCAAAACAGAGCACTGAGAAGGGGTTCAGGCAGGACTTAAAAACCACAGTAGTTAACTAGCCCGTTACTTAGTGGCAAGGTGTAATGATAAATGCCCATATTATGTTTTGTCAGCCCCAGTGGATATATCAGTCCATGTGGATATATGGCCTATATGGCCCTTTCACTCTGCCTTTTTTTTTTATCATGATGGCCTCAAATATCACAGTTTTTCCTAATTTTTACTAATATAATAGAATTTCAAGATATATATATAATATTCTATATTATAGAATATTATAGTTAAAAGATATGTAGTAGGCTTTTGTAAAACAACCATAAGTATGAAAGACTTGCCAAAAACGTTTTTAGAGTACAAAAAGTCACATTATAAACTGTAATATTCAAAAAGCTGTTGTTTTCATTTAGCTGCTGTTGGTATATGGTGGTAAAACATTAGGACATGTGTACATTGTGTATAACCAAAAACTATTCAGTTATACCAATGACTGCTACAAATATTAGTTCTGCTGTTGTATAATTTGCATTATATACTGAATATCAAAATAAATTACTTTGTTTTTTTTTAAATATAGTATATACATTTTTACTCATAAAAGTGTTCAATTTCAGCAGTATAATAAGTGCATCATTGTAATTCAACAAAATGAGGCATTATTGCAAAAGGAATATACATACACCAAGGCACTGTATGTTGGAGGATATACTAAGTCAGTGAACTGCCACAGGCCACCTTCATTGTTTATAGCCAGCAATTTCTAAACTGGAATTATGTTGCACCCAGTCATCAATGATAGTCCATGGGAGACCATGAGTCACAACACTTGGTGAAGACCAATAGACAGGTTCAACTGTGATGATCTGGATAGTAGTGATAACTACAGTACAGAGCTCTTTTAGTGATTGATGGCACAACACTACATTGTTTCAGTCCTGGGACTTCACTTGCTGCCCTTGGTACAGGCATCCTGATGTAACAGCATTCCAGTGGGACAACACACTATCTTATGTTTACTTGATTAAAATATGTTTCCTTGCAAGCTGGAAACTTGACTGTAATGTCATGTATATCACAAAACCTGACTCCCATTGAACATTTATAAGATAAGAAAACAGAACCACAAAGCCACAATGCCACCTGTTCAAGCTATTCTTGCTGTTCAAAGAGCCTGCACTTAGTTCCTAATCTTTAACCTAGTGACTGTATATTATAAACCAAGCTACAGAGGGTTAACATGGGTATCTTGTTAGCAAGTATGTGTGACAGAGCGAAAAAGTTTTTATTGCAGGGTGTCACTATCTTCTTGTGGGAAGGTAAAATTTATCAGTCTGTTAAAAAGAGAAGGCAGAAAAAAGGCTTGTCATTTTTTTTTTGTCAGTCCCTCATTTCAAGTTCAGCACTTCAGTCAATACCTACCACCTAGCCTAATCAATCTACCATTGCATTTAGAATGCTGTGTGATAAGAACTGATGTGTGTCACAGAGTGCAAGGTGACTTGTCTCAGGTGACTGTGAAACAAAGGAGAGAGAAATGTTTCCAGTAAGATTCTGCCCTGAAGCTCTCTGACTAGTTTTTCTCTTTGTAGTTCAAAGTATTGTATGAAATCAATTTGTCATGGTACAGAATTGAATTTTTCCTGGAATTTTTTATCTAATGATCTAATACAACAGTGTCATTTTGCATGTAAACCATGCCCTTATTTTCACACTAGGTTGTTTTATAACTTGCCGAATCAGTCCTCACTTCTTTAACTACCTTTAACCTCATTAGGTAGAAAACATTCAACGTTATATTGCTGATTCGGAAGATCTATAGAAAGCCATGACTGCAAATTCATACTGTACAAAATAACTAAAAGAACAAAACTGCCATTCATAATCTCCAATTTAAAAATTCACCAGAACTCACTTTTGTGAGACATTGGTTGATATCTCCTTTGTTCTTAATTTATCATTTATCTTATATTATATATATTATATTATATATT